GCAACTGCATGGGTTTGATCAATTTGTGAAAGCGGAACGCATCAATCTGATACCTCAAAACTACTGTAAACCCAGTCGTGCATGTAAAAATGGCCGATCGATTATGTGCACCCCGTTGTGTCCCTTCCTCACCACGACTGAGGCCGCCTGTGATAACTCTCTGCAAACGAAGATCCACAGCTTTGCAAAGGTGCCAATCGTGCAGGCAAAGGGCAACCAATTGAACATGTCCTTAGCTTCAAGACCAATTGCAAGCAACACACATGTCGGAAATGAGGAGTGCTGAAGTAAATGATATTTCTTTTCGGACCACCTAAAGACCATTTCTTTATAGTCTTTGACAACCCCTATCTATTAAACATAGAACATCAAATTTACCAAGAAATTATCCTTCAGATCTACACTCCAAAACCATACACACATGTGCATGTAGTATATGTGGGTGATCGGGACAGTGTCGTGTCCGAAGTTACCATGCGTGCAGGTTCAGCCTCGACAAGATGCTGCACTCTTTGATATGGCTCAGTTGGAACCCCTGCGTGAATTTCTCTTAGCAGAAGTGCGGGAGGGGCGTTTCCGACCAAAATCATCGGTCGGGTTGTGATCCACTGCCTATGACCCAAATACCAGCTAGTGATGAACAGCAATAAATGTTATTGTATGATTTGGATCTATCATTAGCCTAGCGTTGCTGTGGGCCATACAATTTGCCAGTGGTGCGTGCAATGAATAGCACTTGCAGTGATAACTGCTCGGCTAGTTGATGTGCATGCACTTTGCGAGTAATTAGCTTCGCCACGCTCAAGTTTCGAGCCGCATCTAATTGGACCAGCCAATCCACATAGGACCTATGTCCAAAGAACTATGTGAAGAGATGAAAAATACCCAGCGTGGTCCCAGCGTGGAAAGACTAAACAATCGAGTGGAAAGACTAAACAATAGAGTGGAAAGACTAAACAATTCCGTGACCTCAGGACCTCTAAAATGCAATAAAAACCATTTTGTGTGCTTTCGAGTTAATTGAATGTGATTCTTTCCATATTTATTCGTAACTTTTGAACTTCCGTCACTCCATATTTGTGTAATATCGTCACTCCGTGACTGATGTTCCGTAACTCCGTCACTTAGGATCCGTCACTCGTTGTGTGAGCGGCTCTTCATTTGTCCGTTGGTGTCCGCAAGTATTTTTCACATATGATCTGCAGGGCCAGTTCTGATCAAGTGAGCACGCACCAGGGGCGTGTTCGTAGAACTTTAGTGCAGTGTTGGTGGAAATGCCACCTAAGCAGAAACATAGTGACCACCTTGAAGAGTTGCTTAAACAAGCAGCTCTCCGACGACACCAATGCTTCAGCCAGGCAACCCCGGAAGGCGAGGATGACTACATGAACCTAGTCTGGCCATGTGAGGAACCGTAGATAGACCTGTGATCTTCTAGTTTAGTAATTTTCCAAATTGGAATCCGGAATCCATGTATGGTCATGATCTTTGTTCACCACACCCTGAAAGGTAAATCGCATATTATATTATGCAGTCTAGCATCCTTACTAGATCAACAATTGCTTTTCTGGCAGGTATAAAGGAAGCTGAGAATCATTCTATGGACTCACAGGGCACCACAATCCCGGCGACCGATGAGGAGGCCAAGGCGCATGTCATGCGAAGCCTCCAAGAGCTTCGCGAGCTGGAGAAGGCGCAGCTTGAAGCGAGGCCGCCAGCGCTGCACTCGTCTTTGAGCGAACGTACCTTGGTGCTTGGCGAGACTGAGGAGACCATCGAGCCGACCCAAAGGACCGATCCACCGAGTGAAGGGCTTCTTCAAACCTATCGGGACTACCTCAACGACTTTCCACAGCTAGTGGCAACATTTGGCAAAGAGCGTGCAAATGCCATTCAAATGGAAAGGGAGGCAGCTGTGGCCCAACACCTTGGGCCAGCTAGTGCGGCTGTGCTAGCAACTTTGGCGAGTGAACAAATGAAAACGAAAGGCCAGGCTTCAGCGAAAGCAAAAGCAAAAGCAAAAGCTAAGGCTAAAGGAAAGCCTGAACCAAAAGCAAAACCAAAGACAAGGAAGGATGCAGCGAAGAGGAATGAAGATGATGCTGAAGGGAAAGCCAGCAAGAAGCGTAAGAAGAATGCCGATGACAAGGAGAACACACCACCTGATGACAAGGATATCAAATCACCTGATGGTGATCAGAAGAAACCTGAAAAGAAGGCAGATGTGCCCTGTGTCATCCTATCGCCTGAGGTCAAGAGCGGAAAGGATGCAGCCTCCCCACCTTCATCTTTGTCCAGCCCAACTGATGCCAGTTCGTTGCACCGCCTTTGCACACATGAGAGTTTGGGTGGCCTACTCAACAGAAAAGACACCATGGTGGAGGATTCAGAATGCCTTGACATCGATAAGCTCCACGAGATTGCGAAAACCGAGGATGAAGCCCGAGGTGAGGATGCAGAGGAGCCAAAGAAGCGAATCCGAAACAAAGCAATGCACAATCGAAGGATGCGCTTCTATAGAAGCCTCTGCAGTCACTGGGCTTGGTCATTCAGTGCTATGTGCCGGTGAGCGATTCCCAAAAGAAACCGTTGGACATATTTCTAATGTTCACCCAATATATGCATGCATGCATGCGTGCTGCTATTATTATGGCCTCATGCATGACTCAGGCCCAAATTCACCTGAAGAAGTTCGATTCCTGGCAGAGAAAGCTCGAAATGGATCGAGAGCCTAAGCTGAGTTATAGTATTATATCATGCTGCAAGTTTATACTATATTTTCTTGTTGGAAGGTGCATGCGCCATGCCCAAACAACAGAATCCAACATCACAATGTACCGATCGCAAAAGAATCAATCGTCTTGCAGTGTCCCACACGTATGCATGCAAGCAGTGTCCGGGGATCATCGTAAACAACTAGACAGCTATCTCAGGATCTGACAAGACCTGCAAGCTGCACCTGCTCTATGAGCAGTGGTGCAGTGCTTCAGAGAAGTGGGAACGATCTTCTTTGGTTTTGCGCATGAAGAAGAGCGTGTTGACGCGCTCCCGGGGGGCCCGGCGGTGGATGACAAAGAAAGAGATCTGCAGCAAGTACAACGAAGAAGTCGCGGAGGAAATCATAGCTTCAAAGTTCAAAGAAGATATGGAGAACATCTTGTGGAAGAAGCACCCAGAGCTCCCAGAGAGGAAGGAACTATACTTGTATTTGTGCTGGGACGAAAGCACAGAAGAGGATGTGGTGGACGACTTAGTGGAGACTATGTTCGAAGGCTATGATGAAGATCGGAAACGAAAGCAGAAGGAAGAGAAGACAAGCAAGAAGAAGGATAAGAAGAGCAGGAAGCACCAGTCTTCGACAAGTGAGACCAATGACTCAAGTGATGAGAGCTCGGCAAGTTCTTCGGACAAGAACTCTTCAGATGATGATGAGAGTTCGTCTTCAAGCAAAAAGAAGAAGAAGGGCAAGAAGAACAAGAAGTCGAAAAAGAACCAGAAGCACAAGAAAGACAAGAATGCCAAAAAGAACAAGAAATGCAAGAAATCGAAGAAGGCCAAGTCGACCAAGCCGAAGGGCAGTAAGAGGGAGAGTGCAAGTGGAAAAGATGGCAAGGATGATAAGGAGAAGGAAAAGGATAAACAAAAGGAAGAGGAGAAGAGGAAGAGAGAAGAGCAGCGGAATGCAGACCGGAAGTTGGAGAAGGAAAAGCAAGAGAAGCGGAGTAAAGCAAAGAAGGCTTGATTATCCTATATATGCTCTCTACCTACTGTCAGGTGAGCGTTTATGAATCGATCTCGGATAGGTTTGTTGGTTTTGTTCAACTGTGAAATGACGTGGCATCCTATTTCACAGTGTTCTTCAATTTGGCTCGATCTAGTTTATCACTGGTGGGGGGACCAATTTGTCAGGCTCTCAATGATGTCATGACAGCCCTTGCGGATATCGCCCGGCGAGAGCAAAAGACTAAAGATATGCAACTTGGCCCAAATCTGCAGCCTCCAATCCATGTTTGTTCCCAAACGATTACCGCTCCCAAACCCCTAGACATTCCAATAAAGGTTGGTGACTTACAGGAACCATCAGTCTAGGGTTCTTCAACCTCCGCTGGTTTGCAAGCCAAAGTCACAATTCGCGGAAGGTCCGAGAATCTCAAAGCGGCTGTCATCGAGTCCTTGGACGGGCACAAGTCGGAGCTGAAGCGGATGAGTTCCCGTATCTCTGAAGTCCTTGCTAATGATGAGGCTAGTTTATTTTTTTGCATTCATGCATGAAGAATTCAAAATTGATCGATACGATAAATAATGTCGACGTGTCCATTAACATGTAAAGTTGGGGGCTGCCGGACAGTACTACCACTCTCGACCAGGTGTCGAAGATGGATGAGGTGGCTGATGATGCCAATACAAAACTGAAGTCTTGGAAGACTTGCAAAAGTCTCATGTGAGTGCGCTGTAGTTGTCACTCTTTTTGAGTTTTGTATTTGGCACGAAGGTGTGATGCCTTAGGATTCAAACAACCAAAGACTTTTATACTACACCACCACTTCAACTGTTCTTTCAATTGTCTTTGAATGCTAGGGTCGATGTAAATTATCAATAATGACGAATTGTTTGGTGTTAGTCCCATGCACACCAATGTTGCATTATCGATGGCTGGTGCACTACAAATCGTGCCATTACAGCGGGCTAGCAATTTCCTGTGTGGCCACATAAGTTTGTGGCTGCTGGGCACTGAACCTGCTAAGGTGATTTCTCAATGAGGTGTGTGAATGCACACCAGCGTTCATGGTTGGTTGATGTTTCTGAAGTCTGAATGTGGCGGCTTCAGCAGAAAAACTCGATTCCATTTGCGCTCAACTCCGAATATGCAACACTATAGCCATAGTACAGCATCGTCTTGATCGATCTTGCTTTGATCAAACCCCTTGACAAATACCCCAAAAGGGTCCACACCATTTGTGGACCCTTTTCGTGTCCTATCAACCTTGCCTGCCGTGGAGGCCCCTACGACACCGACCGCAAAAAGGACCTGTCCTCTTTCATCCTGCGGACCATCGATGATGTTGCCGGCGCAGTTCCTTGGACGAGCCGGCTGCCAACTAAAACATACTATATCGACTAGTCCTTGCATGCATGCATGCACTATAGTACTACTGTAAAAAAATCTAAAACCATTGAATGGCTGTGAACTGCACATACTCAGCTTAGCTTAGGTTTCCAGTGTGGGACAGGCAGTGCGGAACTGCAGAAACCACTGTAAAGAATCTGGGCCCAACATATTGTGAATGCGATGTGTATTCTGCATGTGTGCGTGCATGAACTTTGCATTTTACGATCCATCACTCGTGTAGCGGTGCACCAAGGAAGTTGGGTTCAACAGGCTCAATAGCCAAACGCTTGCATTTGTCAAGAAGTCCAAAATCAATGCTGCTCGCAACTTCTTCAGCTTCTGCCATGTGCCAGTCGAGACTTTGGCTTGACTCTCACATGTCATGTAGTGGGCTTCCGTACAGGGTTCAAATTTAGAACTTAATTTTGTAAACTGACGCCTTCCTAGACCTTGTTCAGCACTTTGGTTTCAGGAGACTGCAACAATTCGAGCTCCGGTCAGGGATCGCAAGAGCAGAAAGGGGTTCAAGTGGATGAACATTGAGATGTTGGAGCCGTACAGTGTCATTCAATACTTGTGGTGCACTGTTGGACTAGAGATAGACGATGCCCAACTTCACAATTTCTGGGCGGAACACCGCGCTCGGGGCACTCCGTGGGCTGTTGCTACCGAGACAGACTTCATTCCGTTGGCGTTGTACGGGGATGGTTGTCGTATCCGTCAGGTTTCTCTTCAACCAGTGCAGAAAGCAATTGGCATTTTTCTTAGCTGCCCGCTTTACCGGCCCAAGGGTGCAAGGGCATGCAGGTGGTTGTTATGCACGCTCGATGAGAACTTACTTTACAAGGAGGTCACCTTGAACAAAATATTCGCCAGGATAGTCTGGAGCTTGAACCTTTTGTGGGAAGATCGCTTTCCTGCCTGCGATCCTTTTGGTCAGCCTGTGCCTGAAAGGTTCCGTGCCCGGATTGGTACGCCAATTACCGGGAAGCGTTTCCAGGTGGTCGAGTTCCGCGGAGATTGGGTTTGGCAGAAGCAAGTTTTTCGATTCAATTCAACGTGGCTTGCTGGTGCTCGAAAGCCGGTTTGCTTTGCTTGTCCGGCATACAGGACTGGACAATGCAGATACACCGACGTCACGGAGTCAAGTCCACTGTGGGATAGGCAGTACACCTATCTAGAGTTCCTGAATCGCGAGATGCCTGCAAGCGGGCTGAGCTGCTTAGCAGAAGGAACATTTAAAACAACTTACCAGTTTCCTGGACTGTGAGAGTCGAAATGTTTTGAAGTCGAGATGAGGCCCGGTGCTCCTGTTGCGGGGATTCCACCACTCTTGTCTGGCTTTGTGCTCCATGCACATCATCAACCTTGGCTTGATGTATGGTGTGAACGGAAGCTGTTTGATTCTTGCAGTGTACTGTCGATCGATCAATCAGTACTTGTGACCGCATCGTCCGATCACACGGTGATGTTTCATTCGTTCGACAAAAACCTTCCGGAAACATCTGATCTTAGGATGACAATCTTGGAGAGCACTGAAATGTTTGGACGCTATGGTGAAATTTCTCTTCAGGAGAACGGTCCAACGATCCGATAGATACGGTGTTTTTTGTCGAGTTTTTTCGTGACATGTCCATGCCCATGCAGCAGAGTGTTGACTGCTTGGTACTACGCGAACGCGCAGGAGCAAATGGATTTGGCGTACCAGGACTTCAAGCAATTCTTGAGGGCTTCATCCATTCCGTGCAGTCAACCTGCATTCACGGTCAAATTGGCCCTCCGGATTGAAAATTCAGTAGTCAGACATGGTTTTGTGCACAGTGTTGCAGGATGTTGCAGGTCTTGGTGCCTACCACTGTTTAACTTCTGTGCATGTAAGGTGGTCAAGAAGAACGGTGAAGTCCTCATGACAGGAAAGGCATACAACAATCGATGCATCCAGCTTTGGCTGGAGAAAGTGATGCGCTCTGCTGCTGGAGACTACCTGCATGCGGATGAGCGTATTGGCAATATGTCAGTTTGCATGCTTTTCGACCGCAATGCACAATTCTTGTCTGTGGTATCATTGTTGCATTTTGTTCCGCTACATGGGTCTTCCAAGGACGGCTCTGGCAAGATTTATGCACTTGATTGAGGCTTCCCCTCGGTTTTTGTTTCTTGGATGTGCGCAAGTGTTTCTTTATCACTGCTCGCAGTTTGCAGAATCTTGCATAGCAAACGTTGAACTATGTTGTCCAGCATGAGGTCTGTGGAGCAGGCGGCGGCCATCCATCGAGAAGGAATGCTATTTGCACGGCTCCATGTTCTGCTGAATCACCAAAGTGCCAGGCAACAGTGGGATGTGTGTCAATTCTAATTTTTGAGGATTGAATTTGCACAATTCGAATCGAATTATGATCCTGAAAACGCCGGTTGCAGTCTTGGAAAGCCCCATTTCATCATCCGCCCTAAGCTCCATGTGCCATGCCAGCAAGGTTGAAATGAATGCTTGCATGCACGCTAGTATCTAAAAAGGCTAGTAGGCGCTAGCAGGTGTGTGGGTATTCATCATGCACATGCATAATCGCATGCTTGCATCGCTGCCCAGGCATTTGGACACCTACTCCTTCAGATTCGCAAAAACCGAGTCTTGTATGCAATAAGTGCATGTATGCGTGCAACAAAAGGTGCAAATGTAATCCATTGTTGAGCTTTCCCGAATCTCTTCCCTCCAAATAGATGCCGGCCAGGATGCACCTCATTCATCTCATTCAACCCCAACAAATGCCGGCCAGGATGCAATTTTCGCTACTGGCACACGTTCGTGGATGAAGACAACATGGGATGGATGCGCAGCAGCCCGGCTAGAGAATATGCAATGCATGTGCGTGTGATGCACCAACGACGGATGAACATGTTGAAGGTATTAATGAGTTTGTTCTACACCAGGAACCATACTTAGAGCGCACGCTCTGCACCAGAGATCGTGGGCTTTGCGGATGTCGAAGCTTCGTTTGTGGACCCTCAAATACAAAGTGAAGAAGTTCCTTGGGTTCAACCTAGATCAGTGATGATCAGTGCATGTTGGTGCAAAGTGTAGGAGAATTGCAGTGAATGTAGTAAGGCTTGGAAAAACTTCAACGGAGAGGATGTGATCGGATGTGATGGTCGTTGATACCGTCCAAGATCGTGCAACAACTCGAGCAGAGAAACAAGCGTGACCGAGCGTGGTCGGCCGTGGTCAGCGAAAGACTAAGAAAACATTAGTCTTTAACATAAAGACATCAAAAAGTATCGTCTTTTGACCCCCTGGGTATTAATTTGTGTGGCTTGGCATATATGCTTGCCAGAGAGTTTCTTCAACACATTGCCCACCAGGGTGCCAAACCAGCAGTCCTAATGATAGGACTACAGTCCTGCAGTCCCTCATTCAGGACTTATTATGGGCCATTCGTCCAGGATACGGACACGCTATGACATGCTTAAAGGCATGAACCGTATCATGTCACACACGTTGATCATTGTAGAAGACAGACGCTCAGCCACCTGGCAACCAAAAGTGTGATTTTCCAGGTTCATAAAGACATGTCCAAGCCGCACACTTCCAACTGCGATTACTGCCCATCAGTGAGTTCCAGGGTTTGTTCGTTAAAGACTTGGTGTGCTGTTTTCAAGACCTAGTTGTTCCAAGTTCCGCACACAGGGCGGCTCTTTGCAGTTCTCCTTGGGGCTCCCTCTTTGAGATTTTTTGATTCAACTTCATGTTGACATTTCTTATCCTGTACCTATGAGAGGCCAGTGCGTATGTGGCACTGACCTCGTCACCCGACCCACGATCGCACGAAACGACGCCAGGGCAGTGAGTGTCTTGGTCATCGCTTGCCCGTGCTCCTTCGGACTTGCGACGTGCCCTGGCAGAACCAGGACGGTGCTGGACGGAGTCCATGATGGGCGAGGTTGGTATCACGAATTGTCATTTGAGTCATCTATGAATGTTGACTGATTAGATCTGATGAGGAAAAGCTCCCCAAATGGAGGTGTCAATGACCATTTCAAGCAAGTAGGGGTGTTTCTCAATGAACAGTCAAGATTTTTGCTCCCTGCGACGGTGAATCTGGGGAGTACACAGGACACAACGTACCTCGCGGTGCGATGAGCTGATAATATGTTCATGATTAAATCACCATGTGAGGTGAGGTTGTGTCGCGGGATTGTTTTTGCTATTCTGAATTCTCCAATGGCGCCGCTATCACAGGCCAACCGCGGTGATGGTTGCCACTGGCCTTGCTGCCAAGCACGGGTGTTTGGTAAAGGACTTGGGATGGGCCAAATTGTTTGCCAACTGTTCTTGCCAAATGCGATGGGGTGAACGTGGTAGGTTTTCGAATTGAACGCCAGAGCCACGTGGCTCGCATTGTACTCACTACAGGTTCCTTTTCGCCAGCCTTGACAGGTTCTTCAGAAGAACGCCGTTAGGAAACAGGCCTCAGGTCGCTCAACTTCCCATTTACTTCGCACAATCTACTCTGCTGGCACATCGTAGTAAGATGATCCCATGGGATGTTGTTCCGCTGTTGTTTTCTCAATTGCATGTCTCAGCTTATTACTAATTACTGTATGTAAAAATCATCATGCAATAATTGATCATTATGTTAACTTGCGAGTGGCACACTTGTTCCTAGACGATCGATAAGCACCTTTGATCTCCTTTGCTGCTCTCAGCACCAAACGAACGGCTACCTGGAAGTGTTGCGCTTGTTGCTCGATGCTGGAGCCTCTTGTGGGGCCACAGCAACTCCCAGACGCTCGAACCTGCAATGGCCTCGTCAGTTACCCTTCTGTAGTGGCTTTGTTGTGCAAACTTGAGGTTGGCTGAAAAGATTGATAGACCACGGGCGGGCCTTGGATCTGCCAGTGCCACACTCGGCACTCACTCGCTCAGCACTCTTTGGCTCAACCTTCGCAATGAAGAACCGTCCTCGCAGTGTGACGATACACAGACCGGCAGCAGAGCCTGCAAAACCGAGCCTCCACGCAGGTCGTTGGAACAACAAACCGCGTATTCAAAGGGTGAAGGTTTTGGTCCACTGGGCTTGCGACAGATTGACACCCTGGTTGAAAAGAGACACCGGAGACCTCACAAGGCACATACCAAGGCACTTTGTGAACAAATCTGAGCAAAGGACTCTTTGACTATAGGCATCTCGAAGTTTCACTGCTGACTACGGACTACTGTTTTTTTTTTTTGCAATGTTTGTTTGTTTGTTTGTTTGGTATATCAGTATATTAAAAAATATATATATCTATCTCTTTATCTTTCTGTTCCTTTGTTCTTGTTAGCTTCCTTTGACATCTCATGAAGTATTTATTTTATACTATGCTTTATAAGAAGGCTGCATGAGGGTCAATGATTTGGGAAGTTCTGAAGAGACCACCCTTTAGGTAAACACTTGTACAAGCCAATCATCACATGGATGAACTCCACGTGAGCAGTGCAAGGATGCTTTGGATCAGTGTTGAATCAGTGAACAATCTCTAATGCCAACTTTATGTTGCAATCATGCTGTCTCTTCCATACAACATCATTTGAATCATACAACTTCATCCCACCATGTTGTGCCTTTTTTCATTTGAACAAAATACACGTACTCAGCACCATGATCCATCCTGATCCTGTTCTTCACGGCGCCAAAGACTTTTCAGGACTCGGTCGTTTGGGAGAAAGTGGCCGCCTTGAAGTGCTGCGTGCTGGACAAGACCGGCACCATCACCAAAGGTCAACCCGAGGCCCGTGAAGGGAGGCCCGGAAACGCCTTCCGAACTCGGGCGTTTTTGTTACTTTTCCTTTTTTTTGGTGTCACGGTCCAGGAATGGTCCAATTGAAACTGAGTAGTTGTCTTCCCATGTTTGGTCGGGGTTCGATCACGACAGAACTGTTCTTTTCTGGGCAGGCGCGGTGTTCGACTTTAGGCTCATTCGATGTGACACTGCCGACAAGTGATGCGCAAGCTACGGCTACCTCAAGCTGTCTACCTGATTGAATCTGTGGTTTGTGATCAATCAGGACTGGAGCAAGGAGCTTCAGAAAGAACTTCACTGTGCTCACCTTCCTGCCAGGTCGTGGAAGTCTTGCTGCTGCCAGGCGAGGCTGAAATGGTGCAACCTTTCCTTGTGTTTGCCGCGCCTGTCTTGCTGAAAAGAGGGTTGGGGGCGTTGTGTACGGAAATTGGCCGTGTCACAGTCTCGTATCCAAATGTAAATGATGTCCTCATGATCACTTGGTTCATTTTATTCTGCTAAGGGGTTGACACAGGCAAGCTGAGGATGAGATGATTTGCAGGCATTTTCCACCCGAGCTCAAAGCCAGGAACAACGACTGAGTTGCCTATGCTGCTGGCATCTCCAAGCTTCTTTGGGCGTTTCGCTTGGCTTCTGAGCCTTGTGAGCTTGGCTTGGCCGGCACTGGGTGACGCCGCAACAGAGGGCCAGTGCGACGCCGCCACTGGGAAGTGTGGTTCCATGGCTGAGAGTTATGATGCCTTAGTGAAGGACTTGGAGGAGTTGGTGAGGACTAAGCACTGTGGCCCGATTTTGATCCGCTTGTCGTGGCATGATGCTGGCGTTTTCTCCAATGGGAAGCTGAAGGGTGGTTACTCCAATGCCGCCATGCGATTCACCGATGCAGGTGAAGGCACCTTCGGAGCCAATGCTGGCTTGCCTGATGTGGCCCTAGGACTTTTGAAGCCCATCACCGAGAAGTACGTCCCTAGTGTCATTGGGCATGCAGATCTTTGGACCCTGGCAGCCAATGTGGCCATCAAGGAGATGGGCGGTCCCGTGATCAAGACTCGCTTCGGTCGCACCGATGCGAAGAGCTCCGCCGAATCGGTGGAATCTCAGGTCGGACGCTTGCCCGACGGGGACAAGGAACTGGATCATTTAAGGGAAATCTTCCATCCCAAGGGCTTTGATGACAGGGACATCGTGGCCTTGTCGGGCGCGCACACCGTGGGCAAGTGTCACATCGGTCGTTCTGGGTTTGATGGGGCCTGGACAGAGGAACCCTTGAAGTTCGACAACAGTTACTTCAAGGAGATGTTGCAGAAGGAGTACAAGGAAGAGAAAACCGAGAAGGGCAATCCTCAATTCAAGAGTGGCAGTGGCACCATCATGTTGACCTCCGATTTGGCACTGCTTAAGGACCCTGCCTTCAGGCAACATGTGGAGGCCTATGCCAAGGACCAAGAGGTCTTTTTCAAGGATTTTGCCACTGCTTGGATCAAGCTGCAGGAGAACGGAGTCGCAGGCCTCCGTGATCAGCTTTGAAACCTTTGACGGAATTTGCTCCTTTGAATCTGCTTTCAGCTGGTAGATGCCTCAATTTGCCAGCAGCTCTAGAGGATTTGCTTCAGGACAGAGACATAGACTCGCAGTGTCACCGGTAAGTGCCGCGTGAAAGAAGAACGAGCTCGCAGCTTTATTCATGATTTCTCAAGGATGGTCTTGTAAAAATTCCAGGATCCCTAATAGGTTTGGACCTACCCATGAACCCATCTTTGACCCATGACACTTCCCTTCATCCCAAACCCTAAACCCCTCCGGGATCTCCACGCCCTCGCCCAGCTTCGCTTCCTTCGCTTGGTGGGGAAGGCCTCCAAGCCGTCTCCCTCGAGGGCGTGACGCCCTCGCGCTCGTCTTCCGCGCGGCTGGGGCGCTTTTCGGAGACCGGGGAGGCGGCCGAGTCATGAAACGCCGAGCCCGATGGGAGCAGGATTGCAGCACAACTACACACACACACATATATATATATATATAGTAATAGTGATTATAAGTGTATATATATATATATTCCATAATACTATAGTCACGATAAGACAAGAGTTTGGATCTATATAAGCTAGAATTGTTTGAAGACATGTGTGGCACGGGCATTCACCATGGCCTGTTTCGACCTTAGGTGCTTGTGCTTGCGAGCGACATGTTCGAAATTGAGTCGTGCTTCTTGAGTAGTGCTGCTTGGTCCTCCAACCATGAACCACACCTGCCAGGGGTGCGGGGGTGACTCGTTCGCAGCAGGAAAGTGCCGAGGGCTCCGCTGTGGTTGGATGGCTCCTCGGGGGAACAGGGCCCAGGGCTGACTGGATTTGGTTCATAGCGTCAGGGGGCACAAGATGTGGTTCAGGCCGATTTCAATGACCCTCACAGAGTTCCTACCATGATATACCAAACTAAATCATAGGTATGTACAGGTTGACCCGCGGGTGAGGCCAACTTCAAGAGCCTTTTACTCTTGAGTTGTGTTTGCAAGTTGAGTGATGCAGGGCTGCGTGGCACACCGGCGTGGTAGACCTTTCTTGAGGCATTTGGCTCGTGAGCCGAGGCTGTTGTGCGCCGTTGAGTCGATCAGTGAGCATCCACTGGCCAAGGTGTGACGACCGGAAGCCGCCCCGAAGTGAATGCATTGAGTCAAGAAGCGCCTACTTATCCTACTTGTTGGTTCTTGATCCATGGGGTGTATGTATCATCAATGTATTGCATATCTACTTGCCAAATATCACTTACGTTGATCCTTTACTCTCACCAGAGAGCAACACCAAGTGAGCGATGCAGGCTCTTCAGCACTGGGGCCAAAGCGTGTTTAAGGATGCCAAGCAGCTGAAACCGCCAGAAGCCTTTGAGCATCAGCCTGGACAAGGCTAGGAACCAAGAGGAACAATGTGCTCAAGAGTTGAATCTTAGTGTGCCCCCTTGCTCACAAGTTGGATCATTCAATCATTGTTGAAGAGTCACACGAACAGAATTTCATGGTCACACACTTTGCAACAGTACTGTATGTTCTTTTTATTTCTATTTTGTTCGGGGGGCTGCGCACCAATGAGCACAAACCAATGACGAGCTTCGTGACAACAAACAAGACAAACACTGCATAAACAAGGAGAGAACTATAGGATGACTCTTTCTTCTTTTGTGATAATGTATTACCGCGCTCAGAATGTTTCATGACTTCGTCCAAGGCTGTCAAAAGTGCACACCAAAAGGGATAAGTAGTCTAGAGTCGTCTAGACTATACCGTTTTGCATCACACACACACATACATATGTCGTTTGTGTACTTACCTAAATATATTAATATGTACGTGCCCAAAGCTCTCTCTTGTTGGAAGCGTTTTACTTGAGCCGTGGATGAGGCGTTCGTTGCTTGATCCCTGGCCTGGGGCATGTGACTGCGGGACGGCCACCACTTGACTCGCCCCCCTGGGTGGAGCGGCAGCAGGCCCAAGGCTGCGAGCCTCGGTAGAATGTAAAGGACTTTTGTATAGGAGTGTTTAAAAGGCCACTTTGCCCTCCAACCTACTAGCAATGGCCTCCAACCTACTAGCGATGCCCTAGCGATGGCCTCCCAAACACAGAAAGGACCTGCAATAGCTTTTGGAGGGTTTTAAGCTGCAGCTATGTCGTGGTGTGAGGTGTCGTCACCGTCGCTATGTTTACTTCAGTTCAGTGTTGCGCATGGATTTGCAGCTTTCTAGATTGCGGAGGCTCCACCACACCGGATAGGCAAGCAAGGGGGTTGAGAAGGTCCTAATCCTTACCTGTGCGAAACTCCAGCCCTCACAATTGATTCTGTGATGTTTCCAACTCCATGTCACATGCATAGAACATCAAGTTCATTTTTCAGCCACGATCATACTTGACCCTGTTTGTCAACGCTAGTTTTTCACAAGAAAACGCATCACCTTGCAGCGCCAGATTGCAACCAAAAGAAGAAACGCCAACCAACAGTCTGAAACTACGGCAGGCCTGTTGGGGCACACGGCTGCTTCTACGCCCACATTCTAGCGCAGAACAACAGGACATGTTGAATGAACATTGTCCTCAGTTCAGACTCAATCCCTGTAAACATGGCAAAACCAAAACGTGGCTGCGGCTGCGGCTATCATTTTCCATAGTCCATGGGGGTCCATTATTTTCTACTGTTCGAGGTTGTGGTGGCCTTGTCGCTGGCCGATCAGCTATTGGCGCTCTTGGCGTTGAAGGATGAGCTGCAGGAGGGTGCCGCTGAAGCGGCCGGAGCCACAGGGGGGGTTCAGAACGTGATGACGGAGGGATGAAGCTGAAGAGGTAGGCTGGAACTGGAACAGGGTGAGGATACCTGAAGATCCTGTTTGGCCAGATTCACCTTCAGAGTAGGTTCCGACTAGGACTGCAAATGCAAGATTCCGAGTATCACGCAACTGTTGGAGCGAGTTATATGTATATATATATATATATTCATTCATATATTGATTCATATACAGTAATATTTCAGACGTGTCACAGCCTAAGCCTAAAGGCCCTCTTTGGTTTCTGGTCGTCCATTCTTCCCCAAGCCACGCTGCAAAAAGGGGAGCCGGTGCCACTTCAGCCCCCGTCCAACACCACCTTTTGCGAGGACGTTCCAATTCATGCTCCGCAGGCCCGAGAACGGCCGGGACCAATTCGCTGCCCCCTTCATGGCTGTGGATTTCACACCGGTCCAAGACCATGTAGTGAACCACCTTCGACCAGGTGAAACGGTCGGTTGGATGACATGCCTTGCCGGTCAAACGGTCGCGGCACACTCGATCTCCGCTGCTCCGCTGATCAATCAGGTCCGAGGCCTTCAGTGCCGGGGCTTTGACTTGTGGCTTTGCACGGGTGACGCCCAGACCACAGCCAACACAGCAGCTGGGCCGAAGCGGTGGTGAACCACGGGGTTTTGGGGGGGGATGTGTAAGATGATGTGTCAGATGACTCGATATGGCTGTGGGTCAAACTGAGGGACCCCGGTTGAGCAGCGAAAATGAACAGAATAGACTCACCGTAGTGTACTAAGATGTAGGGATAGAAGGTCAACCTACCAGGGATTGGGGCCCGGGTTTTTGATCCACGGCCATGTGACTTGATTCACTTGTTGTTTCATTGTCTTCCAGTATGTGAGCTGGTTTTTAATATGTGTGGGTGGGGTCATGTGGCTACGGAGCAGGTGTGATGAGCAGGCTTACTGTAGATATATAGGGCGATTGCGGTGTACATACATAGGTATATAATATATATATACTTGTTGACTAGCACTTAGAATATTGTTTAATTCCCAAAACCCAGGAGAAACAAATACTGTCGGAGAGCGGGGTGAAAAACCTTGCACTTAGAATATGACCTGCAGATAGAATATTTCATATAAGATCTTGCATGATATTGCTCCATTTGATGGCATTAATGGATATTTGCACTGCAGTGCATGATGAAAGAGTGGGAAAAAAGAGTGTGAGGAGTTGTCGTGTATATTCTAACTGCTTCATCTGTGCTTTTATTCTTGCTGCTAAGATTTCAAACCCTGCATATTTGACTCTGAGGGTATTCCAACATCAACTTGATTATTTTTGAATATTCTAACTGCTAGTCTACTACTATATATATATATATGTATATAGTTAAAAAGGTATAATATGTATATATTCCGCACGATCCCATCAACACTTTGCAGCCAGGTCGCCAGAAGCGTTGGTATCAACCACGTGCGAGCATCATGTATGCCGGAGCAGAAAGTTGCACTGGTCCAGGACCGATGCGGTTCACCTGTTGAACATGTTGTCGAACAGAAGCTTGGAGTTGAGTAGGGGTAGGACAGCATGAGTAGGGCCGGGGTAGGAAGCATGCTCCAGCAACATGGGTGCCTCATGTTGACCAGCCGTCGCAAGAGAAACACACATCCGGCGCATACATGCGCAGACACCAGACCCCAGGTGCGACCAGGCGCCCCTCTGCCCCCACCGAGACGGGAGATCATTGCAATATGTTACAAAATGGGAGTTTATGTTTTTTCCATACTGCATCTCCAAAGCCATGGAGACAGCACATGCACCAACGGAGACGGGCAATGTTCAATAACCACCTCAGGCCGGAATGAAAACCCGTGGGGCAAGCCGCGCCACTGACCACGTCGTGCTTTGGACCAGCACCCATCCACAGCCGCCGTCTCCAGGAGCTGTCAGTGAAGACTGAGGACGGACATTGGGAGGGCAAAAATGGGGCGATGTTCGTCGTCATCCGAGTCAGTTTGGTTTGACAGGATCCCAAAAAAGATCACCCACTCGACCGAAGGTCGCAAGAATGAGCAGTTGGCACTGAAAACAGGTCGACACCTCGACAGGTCGTTCATGGTACGGAAGTCGGTGCTGACTCACTTGGAGCCACGGCAGGTGCTCATGGTAGGCGATGGCCTAAATGATGCTGCTGCACTGGCAAGCGCCTTTGTAGGCCATGGGGGCGTGGGAAGTAAAATATATAGGTTTGGCTGAGACAAGGAGTCCTGGGTTTGTTTTGATGATTCTTGATGAGAGAAGGAAGATGCCTTCAGGTAGACTGGCTCACAAGAGTGTTTGGTTTGCGATGTGTGACGCTGTGACGCACATGTTTTTTCTTGTTGCCCCGTGCCGAGAAGGCACTTAGGCTTGGCGCCACGCCAACCATCCAGTATATACTTACTTATCTTACTTTTTTGGGCGCTTGCAGTGCTTGCAGCCCCAACTGACTGTTGGCCCCAAGCAGAGGTCTAGTGACTAGTGGGCATGCTGTCGGCTTTCTCGTCACCCCATGGGTGGTGTATAATTAGGTTCTTGGCTCAACGTAGTATGGCGAATCCCTTTGTCAGGGCCGCCCGGGTCGGAGGCTCCGAGGACGGGTCTTCCAGCCCAAAGCGGACGTAGGCGTGGCCATTGGCACCGGCACGGAAGTGACCATGGAGTCAGCGCAAGTGATCCTCCTGGGATCCAGGACGGCCGGAGAGAAAGCTGTCGAAGAGCCTGTTGATGCGGAAGCTGACAATAGGCCCACTTGTACCAGACGCAATGGTAGACCACAAGCAAATTACTATGTCTACATATGTATTTGTTATTGCAAATTGTAAATACTGTAAGTATAACATAATAACAGTACATAGTTGTACATCAGTGCATGTTTGAATTCATTAACTTAGTTCCAGAGGCATGTGTGCGCGTACTGGTTTCAATCCGCCAGAGTCTATATAATGCAGTATTGTCAGTATTGTGGTTGAATATTTGCAAATGAAGATGTACTATACATAATGAATTCTTTAGCGGTGGGCTCCAACCTAATAGCGATGACCTACCCCTAATAGCACTGGCCTCCAGCCTAAGAGCGATAGCCTCCAACCTAGATCGTGCGAACGCCAATGGCTTTTTTGGAGTTCAGAAGAGCTGCTGTGTGATGTCTTGGTCGTTTCAGCTCTTCACCAGGCTCTCGGAGTTGGTTTTTTTCCTGGACCTCGCCAAGTCCACAATGCTTGGCCCTAAGTGGATGGATGGATTCCCATGAATTGGTTTAGGGCCTTTAAGGGAACATCTACAGGAACCCCGTAGTTTTCGGGGGTGAGAACAAACGTACTGGTTTCCTGCAACCCTTACTGTAAACCAATCCATTGATGGATGTTGGTTGCGGTGACGTTTCGACTCGGCGGTCTCGGTCTCGGCTGACCCCGTGAGGCGGACCCCGGGCCCCGATCTGCCAAGGCGCACGATTTATCGCAACTTTGCATGGGCGTTGGGCTTCAATCTCATAGGCAGGGCATGTCCGTGACACATGAAGCTTGCAGATGGCATTTCTTTGTGAACGGGTGCTGTTCTATTGGCAGCGTGTTGCTTTGGTTTCAACAGCCACTCTCCGGATTTCACGAAGAGGGCGCTCATTGTTTGGAACACTGCTGTTTGTGCATCTCCCTGCACAACTTTTCTCAAATCCCTGATCCTTGGGTTTTCAAAGGGGACGCTAAGCTCCTCTCACCTCCAAAAATCACTAACATGAGAGGCAGACCATCTCAGACTATATACCCGAAGCATCCGCCCAAAAAGACATCAAGTCTAAAGAGACCATTTGTTCTTAATGTTTTTGTTTTTCTCCGGGCACACCGACATGGATGTCATTTCACTGTCAGGTCTACCCCTGGCGGCCGGTTTGGGCGCGCCCTGGGGGATTTGGCTCCCACCGAGCTTCTGCGGGATGGCCATGGCCTCCTCGTCGGTCTTGGTGGCCCCTCGTTTGACTGGGGACGACAGCAGCAGATTCTGCTGATACAACATCTTCGTGATGAATCAGAATGCATTCCGTGCATTCGTGATGATCAAATCCATGTGACCCAAAACGGATTTCACATGAGTCATGGCTTCCAAAATCAGGTGCAGAAGCAGAATCAAGCACCACTAAATGATCGGTCGTGTTCATGATCAGTTCAGTTCGGTTTTTGGGTGGTCCGACGCTGCTCTTTGAGAGGCCGAGATACGCGGTGTCAGTCGGGGTAATCAGCAGCGCTTCAAAAGCGTACGAGAGAATAGCAGGGTTAGTGTATGATAGTGTATGTTAGTGTCCCTGATTTGAAGGTTGCTATTCTGCACCAGCTGGTTGAATCAGTTGGCTAGTGGCAAACTGATTTGAACAGTTGCAATGCGGTTGCCTTAGATTCGTCCAAACTGACCTCCGACGCCTCTTTGACCCGACCAAATGATACAAATGTCGTGAGGTTGTGTTGTAGAGGCCAAGATGTTGCCTGCATTTGGGCCCAGGTCTCATCGTCTTTGATGCTTGGCCTGTGCCATAGATCAGCAAGGTAGGTAATTAGTTACAATGCCAGCTGGCTTCGAGCATTTTTCCCATGAACTCCCGAATTCTAAGATGTCCTTCCCGCCACGCAGAGGAGAAGTCCAATGTTTAAATCAAATTAGGGACATTCGTCGCGTTGTCCGTTTGCTGAAGAGGCCTCTTTTTGCCAATCATGTTGGGTTCCAGAAGCTAGGATAGGAAGGGCACTTATGAGGAAGCCAGCTGCTTGATGGATGGTAGCTACTCAGCACCAAATCCCAGATGAGTCGCCGCGTGAGGTTCGGTGAGTTGAGTCGTTCAAAACAGCTTCGCCAGCGGCCGCCAGCGAGTCATGCGTCCAGCCATGTCGAACGACACGAGTCATCCCTGTGCTGCTCCAAGTCGGCCCGGGGTTCAACCATTCCATTCGCGTTCCTCCCGAGGTGGAGCAGATGGAGCGAGAGTCATGCAAGATCTTTAAAAAGGTGCTGGTCGGACTCACTCCGAAGTCTACAAAATGAGTCAGCTGCTGAAGGAGGAAAGAACATCTAGAAGCATATGTGTTTTTCAAAGGACTTAGATTGTGTCGTGTGTGTGTGTGCATATGTGTCTACCTGATGGCTGATGTGTCATTGTATGCTGATTTTGCAGCATCACCAGGCTTGATAATATTGATATTGAACGATTTTGAATGATTTTGAGCCGTAACTTTTGATATTGGGACAACGCTTTTCAGAGGCTCTCAGAGCCCCAATTGACTGCAAGCCTCAGCAGCAGCAACAGCAATAGTAGGACTTGGAGTAGTCGTCGTCTCGTCATGGTGGTGCGGCAGCGGTGGTGGTTGCTGGTGTTGCGGCTGTTGTTGGTAGAAACCCAAACATGTGCCCAACAGAGTTGCCACATGTTGTATATAACATGTTGTAACTCTGGAACTTTAGGGAGAGCATGTTGGTTTCGGAAGGAGCTGGACTTGTTGGACTTACTTCACTGAAGTTTGGGTTGGTTGGGTTTGGTATTTTCGAGGTGTTGTTCTGGGGGGTGTCCAGGGTGTCTAAAAACAACAACGGGGCTGCAATCTTGTCTTGGAGGGCATGGACACAACAACCTTGTGAGGGGCGGGGTGTCAAAAAAACAGGGCAAACAGTTTTTAATGTGTTTCTGGGACCTCCTCGCCATAGATAGGTAGATAATATATAGATAGATTAAGTAGGGGATAGTAGGGGTAGTCGTAGTAGTAGTAGTAGTCGTCGTCGTCGTCGTAGTCGTAGTCGTAGTCGCAGTCGCAGTCGTCGTAGTAGTAGTAGTAGTAGTAGTTGTTGTTGTTGTTGTTACGACGTAGTGGTACCATTCCTTCCACTAGTGACTAAGTGCTACTTGACGACTTACCACCATTGTTACTGCGAGTGCTGCCGCCACCACGACTAGTACTGATGCACAAGCACCTGCATTTGCTCGTTGTTTTGGAGGGAAACATCCAAAAACAATCGTCGGGCTGCAGCAGGTTTTGTCTTTAGGAGCGGGCAGAGACAAATTAAGATGCAGTTTTTGTATTGTACCTTGTTGTTGTTGCCGTCGTCCAACCTGGGTACGGAAGCAGGGCGCCGGCAGAAAAGATCGGCCATTCTGAAGCGGGTATTGTGGAACTATATGGGGGTGTTGGGGGTGGTGGAGCCGTGTTCTCACTGAATTTAGCATCAAAATGTCCCTTCATTTGCCCCATCCCTTCTTTTTTTGTTGGTGTGTGTGTTTGGATGTTTATTGCATTTTATTGCATGTGTATGCATCTGTCAAGGCGCATGCAAGTCTTGCAAATGCCACGGACACATCCGCAATGATCAGCCTCCCAGATTAGTCGGCGGGCGCGGTCGAGACCAGCGAACCACGACACGATGCCGCATGGACTGCTTTGGCTTTGGTGATGCGGTGTCACCTGGCTGAGAAGGGGGTGTGTTGGCTGGTGCGGCAGGCAGGCCCAGGAAACTGCACAAGGTGAAGGGCACCGCAACTTATGTACTGCATTAGTTTTCGCAAAAAACAACAGCCCGCGGACCCATTCCTTGTGCAGAATACTGAGGGAAGCAAAATCTTGTTGTTACTGGCATGTCGCTGTGGGACGGCTGATAGACAGCCAGACTCGGGAAAGAGAGAGAGAGAGA